GTGGGCGCGCGTGCAGCTCCTCGTCCGTGGGCGTGGCGCCTGCCGGCACGCTCTCGCTGGCGCGCGTGCCGTTGTAGATGTGGAACTTGCAGTGCGGGTTGAGCGCCGTGGCCAGCAGCTCCAGCAGCGGGAACCAGTCCTGCGCCAGCTTGCACACGCACAGCTCCACCAGCCGGTGCGTGTTCGAGATGATGCAGCGCTGCACACGCGCATGCAAGTGCACGTGTGTGGATGTGTGTGTGGGTGTGTGTGTACGCGTGTGTGTGTGCGGGTGTGTGTGTGTGTGTGCGCATGTGTGTGTGTGCGAGTGTGCGTGTGCGTGTGTGGGTGTGTGCGTGTGTGTGGAGGGAGAGAGGAGGGCGACACGGGATAAGTTGCGGACAAGGAAAAGCAGCGGCCCCAGACGGCGCCACTTGTGCCTGAAGAGTGGTGATCACAGGCGGAGCCAGTGGGGGGTGGGGTGGCACGTGCCCCCACAATGATCCGATCGAAATCCATAATTTCGATCGGATCATTGGGATTTATTAGTAATAATTCGGCATTTTGCGACCCCCACTGCCACCGTGTAGCATATTATTACGTGCCAGAGACTCTATGAGATGATAGGACAATAGTCCATAAATGGCAATAAGTAACGGCAAAGCGGTTATAAGTGACTCACAGAATTGTGCGCAGTTGCGTACACAAGACACGACTTCCCTGAAGGCATCAACACCTTCAGCGAGCGCGATGCCGATCACACAACGCGGTTCGAATTCAACCCTCGATCGATACCTCCGCCATCGCCGTCGAATAAAAAGCAAGGGACAAATCCTCACTAACAACTCCAATCATTTTTCATAGCTTGAGGGGCTGCCCTCCTTACCTGAAAATCCTGGCTCCGCCATTGGCGGTGATCAGCTGACCGATCAACTGACTGATCAGCTGACCGATGCATAGACTCCTTTTACCATCAACCACCATGGACTTGAAAAAGCCTGTGTGCGCTGACGGTGACCGTGTGTGTGTCCGTGCATGCACGCATCTCCGTAGATATGTCCGTGCATCTGTGTGCGTGTATCTTCATGCGTGTGTATATCTCCGTACATGTGTGTGCATATTAATATGCGTGTGTTTCTCTGTGCATCTGTGCGTGTGTGTCTGTGCGTGTGTGTGCCCATGTGTGGCTGGGTCATGTAGCCCCCATGCCCAGCCACTGCATGCCCAAGCAGCTTCTGTTTGCTAGAAAAGAGATGAACTAATGCAATATGTGAGAATGTGGAGCTGAGTGGACTTGTCGAAGACTGGTACCAGCGGTGTCAAGATCGGCCTCTATGGAGGAGGTTCGTGAAAGACGCTACTGGGCAGTTGGAGGCAGTCGCCCTCCAGGAACAACGGAGGGCAGAGGAGCACAATAGGGGGTACAGCTTGCGCATCTCAGTCAGCCAACCCATGGCACCTGGGTCTGTCCCATGACTTCCTGTCAGCGAGCCTTCGACACTTCACGTGGCCTCAAAGTGCACCTGACTTGGCACATGTGCTGTGGTGATATCACCGTCACTTAGTGGTGAATAGCGGGTATTGGTGTGTGTGTATCTGTGCATGTGAGGGGAGCGGTAGTGTAGTGGTTAGCGCTGCGCTACTAACCTGGCGATCCGGGTTCAATTCCCACTCACGGTCAACACCGCCAGTGACGATTATTTGAACCGGTCCTAGGCCTCCCCTAGGTCGACTCAGCCTCAAATGAGTACCTGGTGCGATGTGTAAACATCTCCACTAGGGAGACAAAGGCGGCCGGACGTGGTGTTGGCCACCCACCCCCTCGTGTGCCGTGCTGGCCTTCATAGGTGCTCGCGAACAGCACTTGCCCCTGCAGTCTGTCAAGGCTATACGGGGGATCTTTGTCCTTTGTGTGTGTATGTGCGTGTGTGCGTCTCTGTGCGTGTGTACATACGTGTATCTCATATTTCCAGCCGCTGACCGCCTCGTCGGTGAGGATCTTGGTGAAGGAGATGGTTAGACCATCACGGAAAAACCGCTGGCACGCCTCGCTCTTCAGGTCCAACCCTGCAGCACAATCACCTCTCACTCACTCACCCACTCACCCACTCACTAACCAACCCGCCCAGCCACTCACTCACCCGTCCACTAACTAATCCACTCACTCAACAGCCCACTCATCCGGCCACGCACTCACCAAACCACTCATCCGGCCACAAGCTCACCTGCCCACCCACTATCTCACCCACCTACTATCTATCTCACCCACTCACTCGGCCACTCAACCAACTAGCCACTCAATCATCCGCTCACCCACCCAACCGCTCACCCACCCAGCCACTCATTCATATGCCCACCCACTAAATTACCCAGCTGCTCACTCATCCACTCATCCACTCTCTCGCTCACCTAACCACTCACTCATCCAGTCGCTCGCTCAGCCGCTCACCCACCCACTCAATGACCCAGGCGCTCACTCACCCACCTACTCACTCACCTACTCTCTCACATGACCCACCACCCCCTTCCACCCACCTTTTTTGCAGAGGTCAATGGCGGCCTCCAGAAGTACCTCCAGCTCCCCCTTGGGCAGCACTGGTACGACCCAGCGTGGCCTGCGATAGGGTCAAACCATCACGTGGGGGGGGAAACATCACACACGCGGGGTTCAGCGGAACCATTTCGGAGTCTACAGGTCTCCATGTAAGTCCGTTGCCGATCATTGCTACAACTCGGTGGGCTCTCATGAAATTGTCTTTTCCGAGACCAAGGTTCTCTGCAAACCTCCTGGCTACCATCAAAGGTTTGTACACGAAGCCATACAAATATACAAACACAGACATAATTTCAACCGTGATGATGGGTACAAACTTAGTAATCATTGGAAAGATGTTATTAACCACGCAAAAAAGACTTAATTACACTTTTTTGGACCATCTTATCTGACAGGCACTATTTTACTTCACTTTACCGAGTGTTAACATCCCCAGTGTTTAACAGTAATCTCTTCATTGTTCATTGTTGGTATAAACATGGGCATTTTCGTTCTTTTCTATCATGTGTATCAGGCCTCCCCCTCTCCCCCTCTCTGTCCAATGCGTTGGCGTGTGCAGCACTTTGTCGCTTGCGCACAATCGCTTCCACGCCGTCGCCCACCCTTTTGGCCCCGCCCCCCTCCCTCCCGATACGTTCCATTCATTGGCTACCACATTCTGATGAGCTCCCCCCCCCCTCTCCTCCCCCCTCAACTCGCTTTCAAGGGATTACATCTTGAATCATTGCCTCACTTGATGCAGCTAATCTGGCTGTGACGGTCCCACCTGATGACGGAGACTTGTGTTGCCTCCGAAACGTCGGGATCTTTATTTTATTTTTATTAATTTTGATGTTTTACCTACGTGACTTTACAGAAAAACCTAAGAATATGAATAAGTCTCTGAGTCTCTATGCGAGTCTATGGGTATCTGTGAGGCTGTGAGTCCTATGGGTATCTATGTCAGTCTATGGGTCTATGTGAGTCTATGGGTCTCTATGTGAGTCTACAGTTCTGTACATTAATCTATAGTTCTCTACCCAAGTCTATAGGTTTCTAAGCGAGTCTACGGTTCTGCACACGAGTCTGAGTCAATAGTTCTCTATGCGAGTCTACACGAGTCGATAGTTCTCTATGCGAGTCTACACGAGTCGATAGTTCTCTATGCGAGTCTACACGAGTCGATAGTTCTCTATGCGAGTCTACACGAGTCGATAGTTCTCTATGCGAGTCTACACGAGTCGATAGTTCTCTATGCGAGTCTACACGAGTCGATAGTTCTCTATGCGAGTCTACACGAGTCGATAGTTCTCTATGCGAGTCTACACGAGTCGATAGTTCTCTATGCGAGTCTACACGAGTCGATAGTTCTCTATGCGAGTCTACACGAGTCGATAGTTCTCTATGCGAGTCTACACGAGTCGATAGTTCTCTATGCGAGTCTACACGAGTCGATAGTTCTCTATGCGAGTCTACACGAGTCGATAGTTCTCTATGCGAGTCTACACGAGTCGATAGTTCTCTATGCGAGTCTACACGAGTCGATAGTTCTCTATGCGAGTCTACACGAGTCGATAGTTCTCTATGCGAGTCTACACGAGTCATAGTTCTCTATGCGAGTCTACACGAGTCGATAGTTCTCTATGCGAGTCTACACGAGTCGATAGTTCTCTATGCGAGTCTACACGAGTCGATATGTTCTCTAGGCGAGTCTACACGAGTCGATAGTTCTCTATGCGAGTCTACACGAGTCGATAGTTCTCTATGCGAGTCTACAAGAGTCGATAGTTTCTCTATGCGAGTCTACACGAGTCGATAGTTCTCTATGCGAGTCTACACTAGTCGATAGTTCTCTATGCGAGTCTACACGAGTCGATAGTTCTCTATGCGAGTCTACACGAGTCGATAGTTCTCTATGCGAGTCTACACGAGTCGATAGTTCTCTATGCGAGTCTACACGAGTCGATAGTTCTCTATGCGAGTCTACACGAGTCGATAGTTCTCTATGCGAGTCTACACGAGTCGATAGTTCTCTATGCGAGTCTACACGAGTCGATAGTTCTCTATGCGAGTCTACACGAGTCGATAGTTCTCTATGCGAGTCTACACGAGTCGATAGTTCTCTATGCGAGTCTACACGAGTCGATAGTTCTCTATGCGAGTCTACACGAGTCGATAGTTCTCTATGCGAGTCTACACGAGTCGATAGTTCTCTATGCGAGTCTACACGAGTCGATAGTTCTCTATGCGAGTCTACACGAGTCGATAGTTCTCTATGCGAGTCTACACGAGTCGATAGTTCTCTATGCGAGTCTACACGAGTCGATAGTTCTCTATGCGAGTCTACACGAGTCGATAGTTCTCTATGCGAGTCTACACGAGTCGATAGTTCTCTATGCGAGTCTACACGAGTCAATAGTTCTCTATGCGAGTCTACACGAGTCGATAGTTCTCTATGCGAGTCTACACGAGTCGATAGTTCTCTATGCGAGTCTACACGAGTCGATAGTTCTCTATGCGAGTCTACACGAGTCGATAGTTCTCTATGCGAGTCTACACGAGTCAATAGTTCTCTATGCGAGTCTACACGAGTCGATAGTTCTCTATGCGAGTCTACACGAGTCGATAGTTCT